AAGTAAGTACATAGGTGAAGCATTTGTCTATATTTATATTTAAATTGAAAATTAATAAATATAAAATTTTAATACTCACTATTTATTTAAGTATTAAAAGTCTATTCTTATTATTCAACTTATTAAGTATATGTATATTTACAGTTATACTCATATATTTATTAAATATTATAATCTTTTAATACAAATTAAAATATAATTAAATATATTGCAAAACATATACTTTAGTTCATATATAATATACAAACATAAATTTCTTTAAATGCACTAATTCAATGTGAGAGGTGTGCTTTTAGAATAATCCTTAAAAAATATACTTTTCTTTCTTAAATTATAAAAAAATATTGTTTTAAGACAAATTCAAAAAGTATTTGTATCCTAAAATAAATAAATAAAAATTGACATATATAAAATAAAGCACTACGTCATTAATTAGTACCTTTTACCACCTTTTGTATTTGTATTCTAATTTAATTATATACTTTATTATAAATATTAAGTCATATTTTTTTGTATACATATTATTTTTTTGATATTTATAGTTAAGATATTTTCAAACCAACTCTCTTACATCTCAAGACTAATGTTTATTTGGGTTATTTTAAGGGCATACCTTTTACATCAAATTAGTGCATTCAAGAAAAAGTTTATATTTATATATTATGTATAAACTAAAGTATATGTTTTGCAATAGGTTTAATTATATTTTAATTTGTATTAACATGATAAAATATTCAATAAATATATAAGTATATCTGTAAGTATACTTATATTCAATAGGTTGAATAATAAGAATAAACTTTTAATACCTAAATAAATATTGAGTATTAAAATTTTATATCTATTAATTTTTAAATTAAAGACAAATATAGACAAATATTTAACTCATGTACTTGCTTAGCCCACTTATTTACATGAATAAAATCACAAATTATAAACTTACTTTAGACCACCCAAAGTTTACAATTAAAGGAATAATAATAGGCATTTAGAAATTTTCTTTTTATAGATATAATTTTTTTAAATCTTAATAAAATTCAAAAAATTTTATCTATTTCTTAAAAAAAAAAAGAATTAAATTTACTTAATTACTTATCATAGTTTTAAAAAAATATCTCTTTCATTAACTCAACTAAAAAGTTAATAAAAAGAGATAAATAAATGTGGCTAATAATTGAAAAAAAGAAATTGGTAAAATATTTATGTAGGGAGATATTAATATGAAGTATAATGTGGCATTGGTAGGTCCTGTTATAGCCAAATTGGAGAAAAGGATAATATAGAAATACATGTTAAACGCCAAACCGTTAGGCTTTAACGGTAAAAAGTGACGGTGTCAGCCACGGAATGGATGGAGGGACGAAATTGATGACTTTTTGAATAGTAGAGGGAGGACATGTGAGCTCAAAATGAAGTAGAGGGACGACCTGAGGTGATTCCATAGTAAAAGGGTTAAATTGAACTTTTTCACAAAGTAGAGGGATGATAGATGGCTTTAACCCGTCGAGAATAATATTTAGAACCTAGCTTTTTTTTAGCCCGTGCGTTGCGCGGGTTTCCTTTTAATGTTTTAATGTTTTATATTAGGATTTAGATTTATTATTATTTTTTATTAATTTTTGAGTTTTATAATGATTTTTAATTAAAAAATTCTGATTAAGTAATTAAAGTTGAATTAAAAATTATGTTAAGTAATTAGTAAATTTATTTTAAAAAAATTATATATAATCATATTAAAGAAAAGGAATATTAAGAGAATTTAAAAATCACTCAATATTAATCTTTATCTCATAATTTAAATATATCTGTTCTTTTTTTTCTACTGTTATTCTATTTAAAGATTTAAACAATATTCTCACAATCAAAAATTACAATACATTTAAATAGGAACAAATAACTATGTGTTATATGTGTATTGCA